CGGCTGCGGCTGGAGCGGGCGCCCGAGACAAAGGCGACGGTGAGTGCAGCGCCGGCCCCGGTTACGCGCCGGTCCCCACGCCTCGTCCACTCGACCCTTTGGGCGGGGGCCCGAAGCCCTGAACCCCCACACCGGAGGGCTCCGGGAGAGCGCGGCCCGGCCCTGCCCGCTGCGGGCTGTGGGCTGAGCCTGCGGCTCCATTTTCAGGTCTGGGTGAGGTCCTCATGCCCGAGGACCCTGCCTTTGGTTTTTCTTCCATTCCCTCTGAGGAACGGTTACACGGTCAGTTCAAAATTCACGGGAGGCGGGCGGCCGAGGCCAGCCGCCCGCCTGATGTAAAATGGAAATGCAGACCCCCTCCCCCCAACTTTGCAGGTCTGGAAGTCGGGAGGGTGGCGCGGGGGGCGGGCGGAGAGAGCCAGAGTCCTCTAGGTATGGGTTTGGGGGGGGCGGGCATCCCCGGCTGGCGAGCCCCGACTCTCGCCTGAGGCGCCCGACGCGTTTTGCCCACGGGTCCTGCCATGGTTCTCCCTGGGCCCCGGGGATGAAAGCCCTGGCCACCTACTTGGAGGAGCTTGTGCTACTCTTACAGGTTGTTTTACCCAGCGCTTGCTGGTTTAGTTACGATGTTTGCTAACGGGTGTGGTAGGTAGCGGCTCGCTGATGGCGTGTTAATAGCTGAAAAGGAGCACCGATCGGCTGTCATAATATGTACAAGAAACAGCATTGGAATTCCTCTTTAGCTTGAAATTATTTTACATGACAAGCTTTTGTAGAGGACTTTGGTGGTGATGTGCAGTTTACAAATTTTAAACGTTTTGTTAAAGAGCCTGGCGTATAGTAGATACTCAATAAAATATTTGTTTAATGAATGAATCTTGAAATAGACAAGGCTGATCTCCCATCTAGTACAATTTAGGCACATTCCCTCTTGACTCAGATTAAGGAGAAAACGTTGGCAAACAATATGAAATATTGTTTATATGTTTGGTTTTGGGTTTTGCTCAACATGTACAACTGTTGGTGAATAATCAGTTATCAATACTACGAGCATAGAAAATAGGTTTGAAATGTGGAATTTTTCATTTTGAGAAAAGTTGGTATACATTTTCTGTTCCTTAAAACCAGACTTTATTTCTAATTTTCTTTCAAAGTAATGCAGAAGATAAAGAGGTGCTTAGATTGCATTTTGATACCCAGCTTTCAATTTCATCATGAATAAAGAAGTTTCTGTACTTTTGAGGGACTGTGGCATGATCTTGAGCTTCTTTTTAAGCAAGAGAGAACTCTAAATCTAGGGGGAAAACTAATGTTGCACTAATACAATTAAACTTTATAATTTACTCAACAGATATTTATTAAGCACCTATTTATTATGTGCTGAGACCTGTATTGCATGCTGAGTTTCTGGAAGTGAACAAACTCCACAATTGTCCTTTTTTAAAACTTGAGTGTAACGTTCTTTCTTTATTATCGATATCGCAAATGGCACTAAACTAAAACCCCTAGTGCCTACTTACGTTGGGAAAGATGGCAGGTGAACTGCAGGAAATGTAAGTTCATAAACAATCTATTTAAAGGTTAATAAGTAACTTTATGAGGGTAAGATTATTGGGTTACACTTTCATATTGTCAGTTTAATAAAATCTATTCACATTTTAAAATTAAGGAAGAAAGAGGTTTAACAAATTAGTATTTTCATTCTCTTTCTCTCCCATTTAGATGATTTTGGTACAGTGTATTTATTGAAGAGTTATGTACTTCTGGTTCTGTTTTCTCTAAATAATTTTTGCAATGACAACATTTTCTATTTTTTAAAATCCCCAAAGGTAAACAGTGGATTCCTGTTCTATAAGAAATGTTTTTAAATAAAGCTCCTTTTCAGTAATTTTATTTTAACCTATTGTTCACATTTATAAACAAATACAGTATTGACTGGAGAGTGCTGAAAAGGTAAGGATTATTAGTAATAATTGTGGTTCCATATTTGGATATTCCCTCCAGTATGACACCTGTGATAAAAAGCTTATTTAAAAAAAGGATGAAATTTATAGTATGGGATTTATCCCGAATATAAGATTGCATTGCTTATTTTTGTCTCTTTTTTTTTTTTAAAGGATGACCGGTAAGGGGATCTTAACCCTTGACCTGGTGTTGTCAGCACCATGCTCACCCATTGAGCCAACCAGCCATCCCCATATGGGATCTGAATCCATGGCCCTGGGGCTATCAGCACCACACTCTCCCGATATGTTTTTTAAAAGTTTTTATTTCTTATATTTGGACTCTTCAGAAGTCCAAATTAATGTGCTTCAAAATCAGGCTTGGGCCGGCCCGGTGGCGCACTGCTACAGTGTGCTGCTTGAGAGCGTGGCGGCGCTCCCGCCGAGGGTTCGGATCCCATGTGGTGACTGGTTCCCGCTCACTGGCTGAGCGCCGCGCGGGCGCAACACTGAGGGTTGCGATCCCGTTGCCGGTCCTCAGTACGGGCGCGACACCGAGGGTTGCGATCCCGTTACCGGCCAGTAAAAAAGACAAAAAGGAAAAAAAAAAAACAGGCTTGATTATTACAAAATAATGTAGATTGCTAATTTTTTTACAGTTAGCTTTTGAATTTAAATGGACCTTTTTGACTTATCGATGCTTATAATTAAGTTGTTGAAGGTAATGTGTACATTCAAATAGAACTTACAGATTTTAGACTTACTGTGTGTTAGCATTTTATGGATGTTGTTCCTAGGAATAATAAAGAAAGTAATCATTCAATTTTTAGTGGTAGAGAGTTCTAATAGTTTTTCTTAACATGTATATTTCTTGTAGGAAGACTTACTTGACAGTGTGCTACTGACAGTTTGGTTTGATGAGAGACTTAATAGTAAATGATAATAGTGATGATAAAGAACAATGTGAGCAAGCCATGTGATATGTTAAATAAGAGCTTGGCATATTTTTTTCTTTTTTTGGATAAACACTTCATCAGAATTCTTGACAATCAACAGCTTTGAGACATGTTGAAATAGTTTTTGCAAGAAATGAGAACTCATCGTGACTATTTTTTGTACCTTTAAATTACTATAAGTGTTTTCAGAGTATTATTCTTGCCTTGGAGTAATGTTCATAAAGTTTCAAGGTTAAATAAGTTCCACAATTATCCTATTTTATAAATGTTGGAATGTTTGAAATGTTGGTGCTTTCTTCGTGTGGTTATGTGTGTCTGTTGGAGAGAGGGGTAGTTCATTTTCTGTTTTTGTGAGACCCTTTAGAATGATTTAGCAAGTGTTTCTATTCTCAGATGTAATTTATAAAGTGATTAAGAATGATGCTGATATGGCATATTGCAGCTGCGCCCACATTAGCCTGTCTAGATTGTGAGAGTTTATCAATTAGCATTTGTATAAAACATTTCTAAAGTGCTTTATAACTAATTTCTCACATTTATTCTCTAGGATAAGTCGCTATTCTATTTTTAAAGTCTCAGATGTCTTTTTAAATTGTGAAGATGTTTAGGTTTCTTACCAGCTTTAAGATGTGTCTGGGATATTTTATTAAGGTTTTGTAAGATTTTTCTTGTAATTGAAGGTGCATATTGGTTTTGATCTGTTGTGGTGTTCTTAATCTCAGTTTTGATCAGAAAAATATTTTTTATTGAATGTTAAATGTTAGTAATGTTTTAGTCCATCTCAGAGGGAGACATTATATGTTCCCTGTGCATTCTTGAGAAGAACTGAATGAAACCTACTTATCCTTAATATGTACTTACTTGCTAGTTAGTAGGTAGTGAGGGCATTTAAAAAATTCTTTTTTCAGACTACAAAAAAACTTGGCATTTAGCGTATTAATTATTAACTTTATGCATTCTCCTTCCTCAGTTCAAAGCGTAAGTATACTTGAATCTTTCTATAATACTAACAAATAAAGAACAGAGCAGAAATAGTTGAAACTGCTCTGAGGCCCCATTCAAAGGGAGTTTTTGAACTGAAATGCCAGAAAGACTTGGTAATTAGTTGTCTTTATCCCGACGCTATAAAATACCTGTAAATGTAGTCTGATGAAAATGGGTTATAGTAAAACAAACTCCCTCTTTTTCCAGGAAAGCATTAGATAAGTCCACATTAAATCTAGGTGCCTTTGAGAATGACTAAATGATGAGCCCTGATAATTTCCATTTTGTTGCTTACCCACTTAGAAATTCATGCTAAGATTTCTTATGAAATCCTAATGATCAGAATTTTTAAACGTCTTGTACTAAAAATAATTTTTGTTTCATCTGACTTAATCTACTTTCACTTTTTGCTCAATAAAGCAAAGATGAATTTTACTACATCTAGCATTGTTTATATTTTACACCTTATATATAGGGAGAATTCATGGTTTTCTGGAACTGGTATACTCAATGGGTGGGACTTGATAAGGTTTAAGCAGAAAACAACTTTCTCTCACTGTGTCGTCAAAACTTCTCTAAAGATTAAGTCTTTTTCTGCCTCTTGATGAGCTCTTAGGAAGATCAGATAGCTTTTCCAATAACTTTTAGGTAATAAGTCTTCTAGTCACTTGTCAGTAATAGGCTGATTTTAGTCATTAGATGGTATATAGTTCAGTATAATAGTCATTGTTCAAGCTCTTTCATTTCTCCAGCTCAGAACTACTTCAGACCTACAAGCCTACTTTGGAGGAAGAGTCCTAGTTGCTTCTCTTTTTACTTTGCCAGCTCCTCTTCAATATGGTGTCCTCACCTGTTTAGGGTCCAGCTTAGTGGGGAAAAGGGACTAGTGGAAAAGGTATAGTTTTCATGTGGCTCATCTGTTTGTGATCTGGCATTTTTGCCTTTAGAGTTTTGCAGATTGTTCAAAGCTGACTCTTTCTCTGGGAGTGCTGGAAATGGTTTTCTTGGGATTTCTATGTATGGGGACCTCCATCTGTGATTCTTATGATACAGTTCTTCTCCAGCTCCGGTTTAGCCTTCCAGTTTCCCTCATCTGCAGGCTCACTTTGCCCAGGGGGAGGTTTTGCTATAGTCTTTAAGGTAGCTCTATAACATT